ATGGACGCCTTCAAATGCACTTGTGTTCCTCTGCATGCATGCTCTCAGTGTGTGTGTGTGCAGGATGCAAGGACGTGTGTGTGTGTGTGTGTGTGATATCCCGGCAGGCTGCATTAGTCAGAGTAGTAGAGATGTTAACACTGCAGGGCGAGGGAGCGCACAACACACACACACACACCAACCCAGTGACTTATTTTAGAAATTAAAGCCTCACTTGGCAAAGAGTCAGAACCAGGCAGCATAGTTTGGATGCTCTGCAGGAATTTTTAGTTTTTAAATGTCAAGAAATCAAACAGAAATGTTCCAGCAAAACAGTCGACAAACACACTGATTAGTCTTCATTCTGAATTCTCTTTCAAAAGTCTTTCTCACCTCCGCGCTCACCCCCCGATACCTGCAGGATGTAATGCCGTTTGGAAATGTACGCGCACGTTTGCCCTCGCTGCCCCCTCCTTCCCCAAAAACCTATTACTTTACCCTTTAAAGGGCCAATGCACAGAGCAGGGGATGGTGGTGGGGGGGGAGACAGATCATCTCTGGTAATTCCATTTTACCCCTCGGGATTTTCCAATAAGTGCGCTCGCAGGCATTTAATTTATGGCCACTGCATCCCCGCACCTCGCTAATGCAAAAAGGCTCCAGGATCTTTGAGCAGGTCCCAACACATGCTTTTATGCCATTTGTTTCTACTCCCCACCCACCCCCTTTCTTCTGTCTGTGTCGACCCCCGAGTTTCTTTTTCTTTTTTAATGCTGGTGAGTCAGGAAGTGTTATGACTACGAGATGGGCAGAGAGCTGTTTTAAAGCCCATTACAGGGTGAACCTCCGCTGCAGCGTTCAGCCCAGAGGGGAAGACAGGTGACTGTAATACCCCCAATTTCATCTCCTAACATTGTTCTGACTGGTAATGTTGAAAGGGCCAGTTCAGCCAAGTTACCAAACACATACTTTGGCTTATTTCTTGTCGCGTCCAGTGAAGCGGAGAGATTTATTTTGTCGTATAGTCATTATATATTCACTCTCGCCTTCTAAAGAAAGCATTTAGCATCCGATAATGTCATAATTTCCAGTTAATAATGCTTGAAATTGTCACATAGCGCATATGTAGATGCTTTTTTTTATATCCCTGTCAAATGAAGTGCGACCAAAAGTTGTTTTTGTTGGATATGCGTGGTACAGAGGAAGAATTAGGAAAGTTCCTTTAGAAGGTTTTGCATCCTCACATGTGACTCAATGCAACTCAAATGTTGTCACTGAGTTTCTACCCATGCACTATCATCTAATTGCCCCTTTTTTCCCTTTAAAATCCGATGTATATAACATTTTTAAGTTCCTAAAACACAACTCTGGACTTTTATTACAATACCAGACAGGGCATTTTTATTGCATTATTGAATTTTATTGCAGTTTTTATTAGTTTAGGTGCAAATTTTATTACATTTCTAGGAAATTATTACATTATTGGGTGCTAGAAGGCATATCTGCTCATGAATCGAGCAACAAGTCTGGACTACTCGTACCTGAGAGAAAATTCTGAGCACAAAATCCAGTTAAGTGCGAGAAGATTTCTTAAATCAGTTATATATGTAGCCTAATAACAAGTCTATCCGTAGCCGGGGGGGGTCCTGCGTCAGGTCCAGGTTTCTCTGTTACCCTGAGTAACTCTTTCATATGTATTTCTTTGATAGAAAGTAGTTCCAGTGTGGGGCGCCGCTGGTTGAGCTGGCGTCCCATGTGTAGGGCTACAGTCCCAGTGTGGAGGTCATGAGTTCGAATCCTGCTCATGACCCTTTCCCCCATTCTCCCCTACTTTCCTGTCTCTCTCTCAGTAACACTATCCAATAAAGGCCAAAAAAAGAGAAAATAGTTCCAGTTTGAACAGTGAAAAGCATCCAGAGTAACCAAGACATTGCGGTCAAACAGTGCGTTTTATTCGCCTAAGAAGGTTTGTAACTAACCCTGACGTGTTCAGCGGCAGCCATGATGAGGCCTGATCAGATTCTCTAAACGCGAAGGAAAGCGTCGCATCAATGCTTCCTTTGTTACCTCCGTCGTTTGTGAAAGGAGAGCGACATTCAAAGCCATCGTCAGCCTCCAGTGTCGCGTCATTATGTGTCGCCGCTGTATTCACCAACTTCACATTTTTCCTTGACTTGGAGATGTTTTCCATCGAGGTCAAGATTAGAGAGTTCAGGAAAGGGAATCTTTTTTCTTTTTTTTTTTTGTGTGACTATTCGACCACATTGTGTCTGCGAAAGAAATGCAGCTGTGAGTTTTTTCACCCCTCTATTTGAGCGGAGAAAGAAATCTCACGGACGGATCTCTCAAAAACCAACTCGAGGTGGTGAGAAAAACTCTTTGTGCGACTGAAGAGAGTCACGAATCGACAAGCTTCTCAGGAACTTGATAAACTGTAAAGCTAGGGGTCGATTTGTTCAAGGCGCGTATACCTTGAGTCTCCATTTCCTGTGTCGCCGTCAAACACAAGCTAAACAGCCCCCAAAAAATACACCTTTATTTAACTTCTGTCATATTGGCTCCCACAGATGATTCCAACTTTTGTCCTCTTTGCACCTCAAACCAAACTTTTATCTTCCAGTAAAAGTTCTTGCATCGAGCGCTCCTTGTCAATCCAATGTGTACATCTCCTTTTTCCCCTCCTCTTCTCTCGAGCTGATGGCACCGTGTTCACACTCGGATGGACGCTTGAGCTTTTAAACTCTCCAGCCT